ATATATATATATATTTAGGTCCAGGGATTTAGCTCAGTGGTTCTGCTGTCTGCCTCCCAAGCACAAGGGCCCCAGTTTGAATCTTAGTACCAAAAAAAAATTGTACACACACACACACACATATGTATACACACATACACACACACATACACATATACACATACATATTTTAAATAGTTGAATATGCATAGAAGACATGTTGTCTTTGGAATATTAGAAAATTTCAACTGTCTCTACTTAAAAAGAAAAGACCACGAGAGATGAGAGACTTGCTTTTCATTTTGTAGGAATGTTTTATCACATATCTGTATGATATATTCATTGAAGATAATTAATTTTTAAAAGGAAGTATGAGAAAAGGAACACCAATCATCTGGTAAGTATATACTCTTTGAGGCAAGGATGGTAAATAAGAATCAGTCTCTCTCTCCCTCCCCCAGGTCTTTTCCCTTCCTATCTGGTTAGTGCAAAACCAACCTTTAAGTTAAAGGTCAAAGGTCATTCACAGTGGGCACAGAACTCAAAGGGCTCCCGGAACAAGCTGGAAACAGAAAAGTCTCGAGCAAGCAGTTTGTTTCATTAAGATGTGGTAGAGGTGACTACCTGCTTAAAGGTGTTGAACTTCAACATTGTTCAAACTAGAGAGCAGTCACAAAAAATACCTGTTGTGGACCAAGTACAGTTTCTGATTGCAATCCTGCAAATAAAAAATTTAAAAAGTTCCCACTCCCATGCCACCTACTCCAGGTGGAGATGCTTTTCCTTCTGCCCACGGCCCTTTGATCATATTGTACTGCTTTCAATATGTGTGTGCTACACTACAGTCACTCGTGTGCCTTTTGGCCTATAGCTCTTTGAATAATTAATGATAATCATTGCCTGGCTTTATTGAAGGCTTTTCAGAGATCAGGCATTATGCCAACAGTTTTACATCTATTTTCTCATTTGGCCTTCACAAGCACCTAGAAAATAAGGTACGATTTTTTAAAGAAGGAACTTGAGTCCAAGAAAAGTTGAAAAATTCACTCAAGATCATACAAGCAAGGGGTAGATATGCAGACATAAGATTTGAACCCTTGCAGTTTATCTCCAGAATTTACTTGTTTAACCAGAATTGCATTTTGAAAGACAAAATGTATCCTAACTTGTTTGGACATTCAATGCCTAGCACCTTGGTTTAAATAAAGCAAATTCAACAATACTTTATTGGGAAACTACAAAATGCAAAATTTCTTTCCTTAATTTTATAAAGGTGACACAAGGCGTCAATTGTATCATGTTTCACCTGATTTACAAGTTCCTTTCAAGAAAAATAGATACTGTGTGGATAAATCTTGAAAACGTTAGGCTAAATGAAAGCAGCCTGTCACACACACACCAAAAAAACTTCATATTGTAGGATTCTGTTTTACATAAAATGTTCAGAATAAACAAGACTTTAGACATAGAAATTAGAGAAGTTTCAGGCTAGGGATAGGTGGAAAGGTGAGAAACTGCTAAATGCTGTAGGATTTTGTGTGGAGATGAGGAAACTATCTTAAACTTGATCATGGTGATAGTTTCACAACTCCGAACATACTAAAAAACACTGAAATGTACAATTTAAATTGACAAATTACATGGAATGGGAATGGTATCTTAATGAAGTCTTTTTAAAAAGAAAACTATCATATGCTTTTCTACATATATGCCAAAAGTTAAGAAAATAGATGAAAGATACTGATTTTTGAATGTTGACTTTGTATCCAGCTATGCTACTAAATTTGGTTATTAAGTCTAGAAGTCTTTTGGTGGAGTTGCGGGGGTTACTCTATGTTGAGTATCATGTCATCCACAAATAATGATAATTTAACTTCTCCTTCCTATCCTTATTCCTTTTATTTCTGTCTCTTGTCTAATTCTTGTGGTTGTTTCCAGAACTATATTGAACAAGAGTGGTGATAGTAAATATTCTTGTTTTGTTTCTGATTTTAGAGTGAAAGCTTTCAGTTTTTATACATTTAGTATGATACTGGCTGTTGGTTTGCCATAGGTGACTTTTATGAGATTGAAATAAAGACCATCTATTCTAATTTTCTACAAGGTTTTTAACATGAATGGGTATTGGATTTTGTCAGACACTTTTTCTGCATCTATTGAGATGATAATGAGCTTTTTGTCCTTGGCTCTATTAATATAGTGTAATACATTTATTAATTTGCATATGTTGAACCATCCCTGCATCCTTGAGATGAATCCTACTTGGTCAGGGTCTATAATCTTCTTGATTATTTGCTGCACTCTGTTTGCCAGTATCTTATTGAGGACTTTTACAACTATGTTCATTAGGGAGACTGGCCTGTAGTTCTCTTTTTTGGTTGGATCCTTCTCTGGTTTTGGAATCAAGGTAATGCTTGCTTCCGGAAATGAATTTAGGAGTATTGTTTCCTTTCAATTTCATTAAAAAGTTTAAGAAGTAATTGAATTTGGTCTTCTCTAAATTTCTTGTAAAATTCAGCAATGAATCCATCAGGGCCCAGGCTTTTCTTTGTTTTTAGGTTTTTAATTACATCTTTAACTTCACTGACTGATACTAGTTTATTTAGAATTTTTATATCTTCTTGATTCAGCTTGGATAATTCATATCTATCTAGGAATCTGTCCATTTCTTCTGTGTTTTCTATCTTACTAAGAATACAGGTTCTTGAAGTCATATTGATGATTTTGCTGGATTTCTGCAGGATCTGTTGTGATTTCACCTTTTTCACTCCTAATTGCATGGATTTGAGTTTTTTCTGTCCTTCATTTGATAAGTTTGGCTGAGTTTGAAAATTAATGAATAATTAGCTAGGTAGGTATACAGATAGTTAGATAGATGACAGATTTAAGAACCAATTTTGTGATTATTTTCTCTCCTCTTCCCTCCTTTAAGACTAGAAGCCAAGGGTCAGGGATTTAGCTCATTGGCAACATGCCTGAGTCACAAGGGCAAGGTCCTGAGTTGGAAACCCTGGTACCGCAAAAAAAAAAAAAAAAAAAAAAAAAAAAAAAAAAAAAAAAAAAAAAAAAAAAAAAAAAAAAAAAAAAAAAAAAAAAAAAAAAACTAGAAGCCTGAGAAACATGAAAGGGACTAAGTTATTACAATGACAAACACCAGAGAGAGAGAGAGAGAGAGAGAGAGGTGAACACCAAGCCAAACATAAGTACCCCCTCACCTGGCTCCTTCAGCACTTTCTCCCCAGTTTTGTCAGCCTTAATCTTTTAGTTGTCTGTTATTTTTCCTAGGTGTAGATCAAATCCTCCAGTCTCAAACTGTGTTTTCCTGATGAAGCAAACAGATTTTGCCCAGTCACCCCTTAGCTCTTAACTCAAGAAAGAATGCTGCAATACAGTTATCCCGAGCAGCAGACAACCCCATAGGAATTTCTTTCATCTTTGGAGCACGTTATGTAACTTATTTTGCAAGAGAGTTGCATAGCTAATTAATTCCACTTCTCATTGGCAACTATTAATATGAGTTCCCACTCCCAGAAGAAACCGGAGCTGCACAGGGTGCTGAGACTACAGGAGTCAAGCAAGTTGTGAAATGTTTCCCATGGTTTGTCTGCGCACAGAGGATAATGCAAATGGAACAGTGTACCCAAATCCACAATCACATGCACACAGCTTTTCGCACAGACCAATAAGACTTTTTTCTCCCTCCCTCATATGCCTAAATAGGTCATACAACTATCAGTCACCCAATCTCAAAATGTGCAAATTTTCAAGGGGAGATTTTTCCCTAGGTTTGGACTCTTGTCCACTGTTTCTCAATCCTTTTCTTTTTTTTTTTTAATTCCATTATAGCTTTTTCCTCCCAAAAGTCATTACATAAGATGTATTTCCAAGTTACTGGGGAGCTAGCTACCAAAACAGATTTTGATAACTTACACTTCAGAAGGCTAGCTCCATAGGTCTAAAGTCTAGAAAGCTTAGTTTTTTGCTGTTTGAATTAATTTCTTAATTTTTTAGTTCACAAATATTGATTTTGTACATTTATGGGGTACAATGCAATGATTTGATCTAAGTACACATTATAGGAAAAGTCAATTAAGCTAAGTAACCATTATCTATCATCTCACCTATTACTTTTCATAGTAAGATTATTGAAAAATTGGCCATGGATTTGAATAGAATTTTCTTTTTTTTTTTTGGTGGTAATGGGGATCGAACTTGGGTCCTTGCACTTGCGAGGCAGGCCACCGAACTGCTGAGCTAAATCCCAGGCCCTGAATGGAATTTTCTTAAAAGATACTAATACTCAGCAAGTACATGAAACATACTTCACATCTCTTATTATTAAAAGATGCAAAGTAAAGCCACAAGGAGATATCACCTCACATCTGTTGGAATGCCTAATATCAAACGGACAAATGGATAGCAAAGGTTGGCCAAGATATGAGAAGACATAAACCCTTTGTACACTGTTGTTGGGGTGTAATTAGTATAGCCTTTCTGAAAATATTGTGGAATTTCCTCAAAAAACTAAAAAGAGGACTGCCACGTGACCTAGCAATCTCACTTCTGCGTATATATCCAAAGGAACTGAAATCACTAGGTCAAAAAAAGAGCACAGAGCAAAGATAGGGAAACAATTTAAGTGTCCATCAATGGATGAATGGAAATGCGAGATATATACTGTGGGGGGAGGAATATTACACAGCCTTTCAAAAGAAAGAAATTCTGTCCTTCATGAGAACATGGATGCAACTGGAGAACAACAGGTTAAGTGAAACAAGTCAAATACATAACTACAAATTCTTCATGGTTTCATGGAATCTAAAAATGTCAGATATGTGGAAACAGAGCAGAAAAGTGGTTTCCAGTGGCTAGGCAGGGAGGAAAAAGGATGAGGAAAGAGGAAATGTTGATTAAAGAATACAAAGTTTCAATGAGCATGAAGGAACAAGTTTTAGTGACCTCTTGAACTGCAAGATAACCACAGTAAATGACAATGTGTTGTGTACAGTCATGAGCTGTACATTTCAGTCAACAATGGACCACATATATGACAGAGGCCTCATAAAAGCTTATTACCTGGTGACACAGTAGCTTAGTTTGTGCAAATAAATTCTATGATGCTTGCCCAGCCGTAAAATTGTCTAGTGACACATTTCTTAAAATGTATCTCATTGTTAAGTGGCACATGACTATATCTCAAAATTGCTGAAATAATAGGAAGTTGTATTTCTAGCAAGTCTGGAAACCACTGGCCTAGACTATTACAAGAGCACCCCAACAGTCTTCTCTCTAGTGAAATCTCCTACATCGTTCTGGCTGTCCTTCTGTGACAGCTGACAACCTCTAATCCTTTCACCTCCCCTCTTCCCCTTTGTACCCCAAAGCCTGGCGAGGTGAAACAGAAGCTTGGATGCTCTCTGTTTTGGCACCAGCAAGAGAAATGCTCATATGCTGAAACCTCCAATTCAGCAGCACCCTCTAACCACCATTAAAAAAAAAACAAAAACTGAAGCTCATCTCCTTCTCACCCTTTCAACTTCCCTGCTTGGGAGGTCTGCCTTGCTCTTCTTAGAAAGCCCCATCATGTATCTGCAGCCTCTCTTGGTGTGTGTGATGCCATCAGCCTTGACATGCAGACTAGATTTGGAATGGAGACCCACCCTGCTCCCAAAAGGTGACCACAGTATCTGGTCTCACATCACTGGAAGAAATTCTCTGTACCAGCGCAGAGTTGTCTTTCAAAAACATAGCCATGCTCTGGTCCTAGCTATGCTCTGCAATGTTTCTTGCTTTTCACTACCAACACTCCCAGTAATAGACGGAGCCTTCAGTCCTTCTTAGTCTTCTCAGCCTCATCTTCCTTCACTCCCCCAACGTGCTTCATGCTGCAACCATACCGCAGTGGCAACCCACTACTTTAAAATACTAATTAGTTTATTTTCTAAATATTCTCATTGGCTTCTTCCTTCTCAAAGAATGGATCAGAGAAACCAAATCACTCTATAGTAAAAATATTAAACATTCTGAAAGCAAGCCAGCAAAGCCAGTTTTCCTGCCCACTAAGACCATCCAATACTAGGCTAAGGAAGTGCACAGGACCTGGAGGAATGAGTGTGAGCAGAGACAAAGAAAGAGCAGGTCTTCTGAGTGAGGAGGCCAGGCCCTTCTTTCAAAACTCCTTTCCCTTCTGTGAGGCCTTTCCTGATCCCATAGGCAAATCTGACCCCTCCATCCTTGGGGCTCCATTAACATGCATTTCATCTTATCTAGCTTAAATATTTTGGTTATTCATGTTTGCTTTCTCCGGTGGGCCAGAAAGTTCTAAGGTATAAAGGACTAGCAATGTGCCTGGCATACCTTCTGTCATTTACTATTACATGACTAATTTTTAGAGAACCTATCATTAATGCAGAAAAGTACAGTTATATGTATGGCACTGCAGTTTTAGTATACTGAAAAGCATTACTTTTCCAATGTAAGCATTAAAAACATCACAGTGAGGGCCGGGGATTTAGCTCAGTGGCACCATGCCTGCCTTGCAAGCTTAAGGTCCTGAGTTCGATCCCCAGAACCACAAAGAAAAAAAAAAAAAGAATATCACAGTGAGTTTGGAATCTGATGTTTTCATTTCTATTCCTATAATTCTGGAAACACTTAAAAGGCCTGTGGCTCTCTTAATATTATGCAAACATCAAAGTCTTAGAAGGCATTCGGAAAATAACTACTAATCAATGGCTATCTTACAGCAACATTCCTTGAAGATGGATCAATAGTGGAAGTTAGGGGGGTTTCTACTGGAAAACACTTGACTCTTCTCCCTTTCCTTTCCAGCCCCAAATTAAAGGGTGCTATGCACCCTTACTTATTCCATAAGGTAGGTAGATAGATCTTTTAATGCTTAAATATGACAAAGCCATGACTTCTTCTATTCTCATGGCTTCTGAATACCTGTGAGCCACAAGCATTAGGAGTCTCTACTTCCAACATTGTCAAAATGGCCATACTCCCAAAAATGTTATACAGATTCAATGCAGTTCCAATCAAAATACCAACATCATACTTATAGAAATAGAGAAAACAACCCTGAAGTTCATATGGAACCAGAAGAAACCCAGAACAGCAAAAGCAATTTTGGTCATCAAGAGCAAATCAGGAAGCCTTACAGTACCAGACTCCAAGCTACACTACAAAGCAATAGTGATTAAAGGGGGGGGGCATGGTTCTGGAATAAAAAAAGATATATGGATCAATTAAATATCATAAAGGATATAGAAACTTCCCCAGACACATTCAGCTATTTGATCTTTGACAAAGGGGACAAAGGCATATACTAGAAGAAGGAGAAACTCTTCAACAAGTGGTGCTGGGAAAACTGCTATTGTTTGCTGAAGACTGAAACTCTCACCATGTACTAAATTAAAATCCAAACAGATAAAATATCTAAACATTAAAGCAGAAACATTAAACCTACTGGAAGATAAATAAGGTAAAACACTTGAAAACATAGATGTAGGACAGAATTTTCTAAACAGAGCCTCAGTTGCACAAGAAAGGGGAACTAAAGGAGGAGGGAGAGCGGAGAGGGAGGGGAATTTAGAAAGAAATAAGCTGTATTACGCACATGCACCAATTCCCCATGGTGTGTGGACCGTGCTGTTGGATTTCCCAGTCTCCACAACTGGGAGCTGAACAAAGCTTTATATTTATAAATTATCCAGTCTGTGGTATCCAGTTATAGCAATAGAAAACAGACTAAGAAGCACTTCCCATGTCACATCTAACAATCCTACACAACAGGTATTCTTTAATCAATGTCTGCACATGAGGGAACTGAGCCAGGAAAATCCCAACAATACACTGAAAAGCAGCAGGACTAAGACTAAAATCCCCTGGAGCCAGAGTTTTCTCCCACCTGACCACACACAGAGTCTGTGGGAGCCAAGGAGCCCTTCACTCCTGCCATGAATAACCTTGTTCGGTCCTCAATAAGAAACTCATTTTCCAGGCCATGACAGACATTATTCCCATTTCCCTGGGAGCCCAGCTCCCTTCACTTAGGAGTATATCCTCAATATGTATCCATTTTCCTATGAATGACTCTAATTTCTCATTCTTTATGGCTGAGTAGTATTATTCCAGAAAATGGATACATTTTGAGGATATACTCCTAAGTGAAATAAATAAGTCACACATGTGTAAATGCCAAATAGTTTCTCTGGTGTGAAAAGCTATAATGGTACATAAGATCCTAATGATATAATTGACCATGTGAAATAGGAATAAAAGGGCTAAAGGTGTAGGGAAAGTGGGAAGGGTAGGGGA